TTTACCGACTCGGACCTTTGAGTCTCGTTCAACAAAATGAACGAATCTTTTTTCGAGTCATTTCGTTCATTTCGTTCATTTTAACAAAATATAATTAAAATGTTACGTGTTACTTCCCTAATATGTCTACTAAATCGTTCAAGAATGACCCAACACTACTCTACGTCGGGTCGCGTTGTGTGTGACGTCACGCGCGTGAGCTTTGAAAATAAGCGCGAGGAGGAACCGTCGCTCGAATCGCGAGTTTTCGCAGTTTTTTTCCCCGATAAACATACAAACAAATCAATAAAACTCGCCGTATTTCTGATACACCTCATCATGGCGCTCCTGACTCCGTACAGTAAAGTCCCGGAGCTGAACACCGCGACTGTGCTCGTGAGTAACGCGCCTCAGCTCATCTCACTGAAACTTTATAAAGCTAATATAACAATACAACAGTTTTAATGTCTTTATATTTATCTTAACAGCTGGTTGAAAACGAGGAGGAGCTGCAGTCCAAACTAGCCAACGCCTTAGTGCGAAATGAGAATGATTTCAACGTCAATGTGTGAGTGTCTGTAGCGATGTTTATTATTATTATCATTATTATTATGCTCAAATGGACGACATGTGTGGATATGTTGTATTTCATGTTTAACCCCGTGTAAATGTTCCTGATGTGTTTCAGGCGTTTGGCCAGAAAACTCCCTCTGCCTGTTGAGAACAAGGAAACCCGTCCTCGCATTGATTTAATAGTGTTTATAGTGAATCTGCTGTCAGAGCGCAGGTACACTGACCTCTCTCTCTCTCTCTTATTCTCTCTCTGTCTCAGTCTGCAGTCAGTGGAAAGCTCTCTCGCTCATCTGCACTCAGACTGCTTCCTGGGGAAAGTGTGTTTCTTGGTCACTGATGGTGAGTTGAGAGCCACTTTCAACAATTGTAAATGTGCGCACACTCATTTTTGTCTCTTAGTTTTCCACAAAAAAGAAATTCAAAGCATTTGTGAAAATGCATTTATAGTCACATACACTCAATGTTGGGTGGGTTTCGTTGGAAATGTAATAGGATACAGCAGGGGTGCCCAAACTCGGTCCTGGAGGGCCGGTGTCCTGCAGAGTTTAGCTCCAGCTTGCCTCAACACACCTGCTTGGAAGTTTCTAGTATGCCTAGTAAGACCTTGATTAGCTGCTTCAGGTGTGTTTGATTAGGGTTGGAGCTAAACTCTGCAGGACACTGGCCCTCCAGGACCGAGTGTGGGCACCCCTGCGATACAGATAACAAATTACTCAATTTGAAATGTAATAAGTAGTATAACTATTTCAATTACTTTATTAATGTAACTGATTACTTTTTTAAATTTCTAACGAATGTTTTCAACTATTATTCATTTTCAAACATGTAAAGCAGGCAGGGTTAACCTTACAGTAGAGCTCAACACCGATTACCTTCATCACTTGAATTAAGATGATAATAATTACATTTTAAAGCACAGCCAGCACTAAATCAGACTTTAGCACCTTTTTTCACTTTGAGATATTTCTGAGGAAAAATACAAATTTAAAATCATAAGATGTAGTTTAATAGCTATGATACTGTTTTTGAAATCAAATCTTTGCGTAGTTATGACAGGAAGCACTGGCATCTAACAATGCCTTGGAAAAACAAAACCGTTCATCTTAAAAAATAAAGCATCATAAACCCAAATAGAACATTAAAGTTATCAAATAAGCATGAGTCCTATTCTGTGTCCTAAACTCCTGAAACATTGGTGTCTCATATTTTAGAGCAGTCACTGCAATTTGGGAAAGAAATCAGTCAAAATATTTAGACGTTACCCCCGTTAACATTTTCATAAGTAACTGTAATTTAATTACGCATTGTTTCTCAGTAACTGTAACTAGTTACTCCCCAACACTGCACTCAGAAAAGCTGAAATAGTTTGCTTTTTATATTTTTATTTGTGTAGTTCATGGCATCACACAATTCAGGGTTTTAATCTGTTTTCAGATAAGTCCCATTTTGGTAACAATGTAGCAAAATGGTAACATAAAATAAATGGTTCACATGTTATTTGGTTTGACCTCGAGATGGATGAGCAACATTTTCTGAAGGTCAAGCACCTTCTTTTGCTGATCATGTACTTAAATGGCATGAGTTTGAGTGTTGTATTATATATACATAGTACCATTTAAAAGTCTGGGCTCAGTAAGATTTTAATGTTTAAAAAATAAGTATTTTCTGCTCACCAGAGCTGCATTTATTTTATTAAAAATACAGTAAAAATTGTGAAATATTACTATGTAAAGTCACTAATTTCTATGTAAATGTATAGTAAAATATTATTTATTTCTGTGATCAAAGCTGAATTTTCAGCATCATTACTCCAGTCTTCAGTGTCACATCACACACAGACATGCACGCGCAGAGATACACACAGACACGCACGCACATAGAGACGCACACACACAGACAGACACTCACACACAGAGACAGACAGACACACAGACACACAAAGACAGACACACACACACACACACACACGGTCACCTCAGGCAGATGTGTGTTACGGCACGTTACTCTCTCTGTCTCTCAGACGGCAGATGGTGTGAACGCAGCAGCCGTGCGGCTCCTGAACATCTTGAAGGTGTCGGCGGGAATGTCGCCCATAGCAACCACCGCCCTCTATCTGTCCTCTCTGACCCGCTGCTCGGTGACCTCTGAGCTTGAAGAGGACTGACCTCCAATAGGATCAATTAAGAACTACATTAAGACTCGATTCATTACTTTGAATTTCCACACAGGAAACACAAGTTGCAGATAATCACACTGGACTGCAGATTAGTTCACTGTTATTTTCACATCACTGCCCATGAAATTTACCTTGCCATGGGACTTTATTAAATACTGTGTGTTTTCATGGCTGCCCAGCGTTCATATTCAGCTCTTGTAATGAATTAACACATCCAAATCAGCAGGGGGAGCCATTGGGTAGCGAAGGAATTGCTTCTAACATAGTCCCCACATAATTATCCTTTTACAATATTTATAAATACAATAATTGAATTTTTATTGAAATGAATTTAATTTCTTACATATATTTACTACAATACTAGTAAAAAGTTTGGATGTACTTGGTGAGCTTACTATTATTATTATTATTAATATTCCCATGTTTTCCCAGTTTTAATGGCTTAACTATTGTTATAAAATAAAAAAGAATGAGTAAATAAGTCAGAAATTGACTGGTACTCAACCTATAAATCAATATTGTTCTTGCCCTAAAATATCTTAATACCCAATAATTATGTTAGTAAAAACATATTTACTATAATATGTGTCTTCGAGCATTTTTCCTGATTTTTTTTTGATGGCTAAAAAAGTTAAGCAGTGATTTGTGAGATTAAATGTGTCTACTCCAGTGTTATTGTAGATACTATTATAGTTTCTATTAATTGTTTGAATTAGTTTTTTTTTTTTTCTTCTGTTTTCATCTTAATTTTAGATAAAGTTTTAGTCATTTTGTTGTGTGTTTTAATTGTTTTATTAGTTTTAGTTTTTTAATGCGTACATAGTTTTGATTCATTTTTATTTCAGTTTTTGTTATTTTAGTATGTTAAAAATGGGAAATATTTCTTTGGCAATATAAGTTTATATCAAAATATTTTATTCCATTTTTATATATATAATTTTTTTTTTAATATATTTTATTACATTTCAGTTGCTGTTTATTTATGGTTTTAGTTTTTGTTAACTTCTCTTTTTGGTGCACTACAGTAACCTCATCCCAGAATCCTCTTATTCCCCCTCGAATCTTTTGCGTTTCTATGACAACCCTCACCTGTTGCAAACCAATCCTATCGGTAACCCGAGTCCTGAATAATGGACGTTCTTTGCGAAGAAATGACAAAAAGGCTTTCTGGCATCTTACCTGTGCTCTCTCTCACTCGCCCAACCTTTCCGTTGGCTCCCTCGTGACTGACCTCATTCGACAATCTCTTCGCTGACCACTTCACACACGGGTCACAGTCCAGATATCCTCTCACCCCACAGACACACAGAGAGCCTCGACTGTCACGAAGAGGCCATCGCGGTCTAATTTTAGAGTCTTTTTATTGTTCTTGTAATGGACACTTTTGATGGCGCTCATGAATTGGGCTTGAACCTACAAGCTTTGGGGAAAACGTTCTGTATTTGGTTTTAACTATAAAAGTCATTAAAGTTCCAAAGTATAGGTCTGTTATTCTCATGAGGTCACAGACTGAGACGCCGCTTCAGTTCATTCTCAGTGGCTTTGTGTCATATTGTTCCATGATCTGCTCTACTGGCGTCCATTAGAGTCCTTCACAAACACCTCTACAATGCAGCCGTCCCTCCAGAGACCTGCCTTTGTCCCACTCGACTGTCCCACTCGACCCATTCTGTTACTGAATAATGCAGTGAGTGTGTGTGTGTGTGTGTGGGTGTGTGTTCACATGTTGAGAGACTGGCAGAGCTGGATGGCAGTGGATGCGTTTCTACCTGCACGTACCACTTTCACACACATTCCTGCTCTTATTTATAGCCAGGTAAAGTGTGTGTTTGCTAAATGAAGCATCACTACTGGTATTGCTCATAGTTACTGATCTGAACCAACCCCTGCCAGTAAGTGTCACCTGAAATCACGTGTCTTGGTGAGGAAAGATGTGTCATTTTGGGTAAAGATGCTTTAATACAATGTATATTGTCAAAAGCATTACACAAGTTCCTGTGTCCAAAATGTCAGAGTCCAAATTCATTCGCAGGTCCAAGTACCCCGACTCTAAAAATTGACTTGACATTTGGAGCACCTGGTAACTGCAAAGCAACACCCTAGAAACCATCCAGAAAATGCATAGCAATGTGTTAAAAAAACCATGCCACAAATTCTAGCAATGACATAGCAGCATGTTAAACACCACTTGGAACACCTGGCAACTGCATAGCAACACCCTAGCAACAAGAAAACTCTAACAACCATGTAGAAACATGTTAAAAAACCACTTAGAACACCTGGCAACTGCATAGAAACGCCCTAGCAACCAGCAAACGCTAGCAACCATGTAAAAACATTAAAAACCGCTTAGAATGCATAGCAACGCCCTAGCAACCATGTAAAAACATGTTAAAAACCACTTAGAATATCTGGCAACTGCATAGCAACCATGTAAAAACATGTTAAAAACCACTTAGAATACCTGGCAACTGCATAGAAATGCCCTAGCAACCATGTAAAAACATTAAAAACCGCTTCGATCACCTGCCAACTGCATAGCAACCATGTAAAAACATGTTAAAAACCACTTAGAACACCTGGCAACTGCATAGGAATGCCCTAGCAATTCCATAAAACTCTAGAAAACTGGTTCCATAAAACCATAAAACTCTAGAAAACGTAGAAAAATGTTAAAAACCAGCCTGAGCAACCAGCAAACGCTAGCAGCTAGCAGCAACCATGTAAAAATGTCACAAAACCGCTTAGAACACCTGGCAACTAGATAGAAACGCCCTAGCAACCAGCAAACTCTAGCAACCATCTAGCAACATGTTAAAAACAACTCCGAAAACCTAGCAACATCTTATCAATGCTATAGCAACAATCCATAAAAAACAGTTAACTGCATAACAATGTGCTAAAACCTATTAAAGCACCTTAAAACTGCATAGCAACCACCTAGCACCTCTCTAGTATTGTGACGGTGAGATTAGCATGATTAGGAACGCATATCATTTCTTATTTCAGTGTTTCTGTGTGTTTTGAGAGTACGTGATCATCATCACGTTTTGACTGTGATTATCATCATATGCCTGCGTTATAATGACACAAGCCTCATTCTGAGCTGGCTGTGAGCTTGAATGGAGAGCCTGTGTTTCAGATGGACTCTCTGGAGAGCTCCAGATATCTCGGCTTTCCTGCCCTGCCTCTTCCTCTCACAGTAGATAATACAGGATGACACTGAGCTTCCTTACAAATACACACACACACACACATTCAGTCAGGAGATGGTCAGAAAGTGCTCAGAAACCAGATGCTCTCTTCCAGCAGACCTGCAGAACAATGCTGGCATTGAGAGGAGAAACACATCAAACCACCGCTTGATGCTAGAGCTCAGAGGAAAGTCTCGATGCTCAGAAGTCACTCCTTTGTTGCTCAGGAGACTTTGTTTGACTGTTAATTTTATGTTTCTCTTAGAATTTCTTTCGATAGAAAAATTCAAATGGGTTTTAGATACCACAGAACTGCAAAAATCATGCTCAACATCCCCTATCCTACAGTTTAAAAGGCTGCTATATATTTTCATAAATAAAAGCCCAATTGGCAGGGAAAAATTATAGTATGAATATGTATAAAATATTATTTGGTAGTACTTTTTAAATGTATTAATTTTTCATTATTTAATCATTTCTTTTAATTTTTAATCTGTCATTATTTATTTATTAGAATCTTTTATTTATTTTAAACTTTTTTTATTTTAATCTAATTTTACTAATTTTGTATTTATCTTAATCTGCTTTTATTTGTATTTGATTTTTATTTAATAATTTTAATCCATTTTTAGTTTAGTGTATTGTGTATTTATTTGTATTTTAAGAAACTTTTTATTTATTTTGATCTATTTTTATTTATTATTATTGTTATTTATTTTTTTAACAAATGTATTATTTTTTTAAACAAATATTTCCACAGGCCCAATCACTCCATTTATTTATTTATTTAAAGATCTTTTTAAAACAGACCCAATCACTCCATTTATTTATTTATTTAAAAATCTTTTTAAAACAGACCCAATCACTCCATTTATTTATTTATTTAAAAAATCTTTTTTAAACAAATATTTCCACAGACCCAATCACTCCATTTATTTATTTTAAACAAATACATTACTCCACTGCGGCCCGCTGTTTGAAAAGCCGGGGTCTAGCAAAGAAAAGGAAAATCATCTTAAGTAAAAAACTCAAGTCTCCATTCACTCTCCTTTCAATCTTGTTGCTTTCTAGGAGAAACTGGGATATTAGAGCTCAGGCTGATATGCTTTATATGTCAGCTGTCTCGTGTGTGATATCATGTGGAGCTTTTGGATATGAGGTCAGGTCTCCAAACACTCGACTACGTGACAACTAAAGGAAGGCAGAGAGAGACCGAGTCAGACAGAGAGAAAGTAACTGTTGTCATGTCTGGTGTGACCAAGACAAACCCCCCGGGAGAACGTAACACATGCTCATGACATCTCTTAACACAACCGTAAAGTAAAAGCAAATGGCAGTCGCGGAGCAGGAAACCTCTGTGGCTTCAGTCACGTCCACAGACGTCCTGGAATGAGATTTGCGAGGGATGGAAAAGCACGAGTGGCCGTGACCTTGAGCGTGTGCGTTTGTGCACGGCTGCAGATCAGCCTGCAGTTTTCTGAGGATAAAGATTTCTGAGAAATACCGGCCAACGGAAGAACATAAACAAGAGGTCGAGGTTTAGCAAAGAGTAAGGGTCACAATGTCATAAATAAAGCTCATTCCAGACCCAGATCAGGCCAGATGAGTTTAGCATGTGATTGCACAGCAGCTTAGAATAAAGCCGTGTTGTCAAACGGACCGTAAACGCATGCAGGCGTGATCCTTCAGATGATTATGAACCGCAAAACAGCCCAACCGCAGTCATACTGCAGCCATAATTCATCTAATATTTTGAATAAATATATATATATATACAGAGCTGGGCAGTAATTGATAACATGTAATCATTATGTAATCAGATTCCAAAAATTTACTTGTGATTAGATTAAATTAGTTACTTTTATATTAACTACATGATTACATATTATTCACATAGCAATAAATTATTCATAATAATATTGATTTCCCCTAATTCCTCTTTTTCATCTTTTAAAATTTCCTTTCTAAAATAGCCTGCCACTTATATACACTCAAAGTCTTGAGTTTTGTGGACATTCACACAGAGACCAGTCACTAGTCAGGTGCTAAATCATTTCAGGTTTAAGAAGTATTTTAACACTGCATGAACTACTGATGAACACATGAATTTTTGTTTAAATTGTCAGGTTATTCAACAATGTATTTCTATGTCTTTGGAAGGCTTTTGTCTTTCAAACACATTAAATGCACAAATTCACAAACTTTTGTATCATCTGATCCTCTTTTACATAATATATTTTTATTTGGAGTACCCCTGAGATAATTTAAAATAAATAATTGAATAATTGAATATCACATTTGCGTGTTCACAGTTCTCTGATGTTGGTTATGGCCACGTGACATGCAGGTAAACAAATAAAATATTTCATTTAACATTTTTATGATTTAATTCATTATTAGCTTCTCATTAAATTCATAAACCCTCTGCAGTTTCTTCACAAACTTAATTCGGGAAACCTTGGCGTAATATGTTTAATGCACTTCATGTTGTTAATAACAATGAATGGAATATATTTCTGTCTTTGTATTTTTATATCAATATGGAACAATATTATCATATTTAAATCAATGTGATAAACAATGTGACAAAAGTAATCTGATTATATTACTTAAAATGTGTATTATAATGGATTACATTACTAATTACAATTTTTGTCATGTAATTTGGAATCAATAACAGATTACAATTTGTAAGTAATCTACCCATCTGTGTGTGTGTGTGTGTGTGTGCGTATTAAATCAGCTGTGAAAAACCTTTAAATTATTATTTTTTTTGCTATTTTAGTCCGATTATATTTATAGAAATAATGTCAATCACCTATGAGGTGATTTTGTGATTTATGAGGTAATAGTTCAGTTAGATTTCCTAGTTTACCCTTTGAATTGAAAAACGTTCAAATATAATTTTGTTTCGTTTATTTACTGTTTTTGTGTCTGTTTATAATAATTCAGCAAATAGTGAGGGACAAAGGTGAGGTTTTTACTGCATGAATGACAAATAAAGACACAATTCAGTTTTTCAGCAGGTAAAAGCGACGTTTATTAATAAGTGTTGCTAAACAAAAGCGAAGCAAATGATTTGTAACGCAGGTTAATAATAGTAAGACAAAGCAAGTGTAGAGAAACCAGTATCTATGGCCTTTCAAAATAATAGAGGCGTCATTAGAATTAAACAATTTCGATCATCATTTTCTCCCAAACTGACATTATTTTATTAATGTGCAATCACTCGAGTGCAATTCAGATGAAGTTTAGTCCTAATCTGAGGCTCCTTCTGAGACATGTCATGTCATGACATCATCAGATCAGCTGACGCTCTAAACCTGACGTGATTGGCTCGTTTCAAGGCACATTTACCTTAATCCAGTGTTGGGCTAGTTACACAAAGAATGTAATATATTACTCATTACTAGTTACTCCTTTCAAAAGTAATACTGTACTTATTACTTTCTGGCAACAGTAATTAGTTACACTACTAGTTACATTACTTTTTCCTCACGCCCCTCAGAAGTTGTAACTGTGTATCTTCCACATACAATTCTTCTAGAATGTTACTAACAACATATTTCTGCCTCATCATTTGACCAAAATCTACATTGGATCGCAGTCAGAAGTTATTACAAACACTCGATAGTGATTGATAGTGACATTCAAGTAGAAGTGTTGTATTAATCTCATTAATTGTCATGTGTAGCTTGAAGGGGGTTGAGGCATCAAAAGTAACTAAGCTGCTTTATGGATGGTAACTGTAATATTATTACTGAAAGCTGATTAGTAATTAGTTACACTTCTAGTTACTGCAAAAAGTAATATTATTACAGTAACTGATGCTGCGTTCAAGTCCTCCTGGGACGTTCGTACTTACGAGTTGACAAGTCGTAATTACGACGTCAGGTGCGTTCAAGTCAGTTTAGTCGGCACAAGATGGCGGTGACAACAGGGTCTGTTAACTTTGCTTATAGAAAATGAAGAGCAAAGAATTCGCATCAGGTGTGTTTTGCATTTTTAATATTTTTCAAAAGTAATTTATGAAGCCACTTTAATCTGTATTGCATCAAAACTTCATCAAAACTATAAATTTAAACAAAAATTTACCGTCAACTACAGGATGCAACATCCATGGATTCCGCCATGTTTCTCATTGACACGCCCCCAACTCGGAAACTCTGGGGTTAAAGAACATTTCGAGTTTCCCACTCGTAATAACGACTTTGTGGTAGCGTTCATGTGCGTTCAACTCGTAAATACGATCTATCCGACATGACTTGAACGCACCATGAGTTACTAGTAACTAGTTACTGCCCAACACTGCCTTAATCAGGACAGGCGCCATCTTGGATCTAACGCAGATGAAAACGAGGCTGCACGGGATAGACTGTGCAAGGTCCTAGATCACGTGATTTTCAACAACTTTCAAATCTTTTTATTGAGTTTGTGTCTAGAGAAAGTTGTATTGAGTTTCGTCAGCTGAACAATCAGTATGTTGTCAACAGTACAGTCCAGTGAACGCGCTGTAATTACTTCAGTTCCAGCCTTGTTTTCATTCCCGTCAAAATCAAAACGAAACACGGCGCTTGTCCTGACTAACAGTTGCATGTTTATTTGGGTTTTAGACATGATTTGTTCTCTGCGGATAGTTTTTAATCGTATTAGCTGCACAGTAATTTCTATTGACTAATGCATGAGCAAGACAAGCGTTGTTTCTGTGATGCCGCTGAGTTCGTGACGCTCAGCGTGTCGTTTAACCGGCGAATCCGATCTCCTTGTAGTAAGCGTCGATGTCTCCGATGACGGCCTCCATGACTCTCCTGAGTGCGCTCTGTCCAGCCGCATCCAGACCCGCCTTCTCCGCCATCACCTTCACCAGCACCTCCGTGATCAGCTGAACACACACACACACACATTAACTGCGTCCCAAATGGCGCACTATACACTACGCACTTATGCACTATGTACTCAGCCATATAGTGTATGAACTTTATAATGTTATTGTGTCATTAATAATTGGAATCTGATAGCCCCTCCCCTTTTGCTATGTAATTAAAGCTGCTACAGTTGAGCGCATGAAGTCAAAGCCACTAGAAGGCAAGCCTGCAACCTTTAGCCAAAAAAAGCATACCGGCTAATGCTAACCCTTCTGCTTTGGAAGTACGTGGGAAAGGAGACCAGAGGCCGGGTTTTTATGAATGGATGTCATGTAGGAGAGGCTTCACTACGCGGAATAAACTGCTTTTTAGAGGAAACGGCTTATTTAATGAATCCATAATCTATCTGCTAATCTTCAACGTTTTACACTAAACAATACTTTTAGATTGAACTATTTTTAGAGTTTACCTTGGAAAAAAAAAAGCCATTTTATAAGAGAATATATATATATATATATATGAAGAGTAAAAAATTTGATGTGTATATATAACATTTTCTTTTTTACTTATCTTCCTTTTTTATGATGTATATAGATAGTTTCATGATTATAAAAAATATTATTTAGATATATAATATACAACATTCAAAACCAGTCACTTATGAGGTGAGCTATAGTAAGAATTTTTTACTTTTGTTAAGTTTAATTTTTTCTTTTTTGCAACAAAGTATGCACGTAAATTAAAATTAAACAATATATGATAACCTAATATTCTGTTATTTCATTTCTTATATATATATATATGTACAGTATATATATGGTCTTTTCTACTAGTTTTAAATTTTCTAGCACCATTTTAATATTTAATTTAATTATAAATTGTGTGTATGTGTATATATATATATATATATATATTTTTTTTTTTATTTTATTTTTTTTTTTTTTTTTTTTT